AGGCTCCAGCTCCCCTGTAATGCACCCTTCGAAAAACTCGAGGGTCCTGTTTGCAGTTCAATGCGCCTTGCACAACAGGCATGCTGGCATCATGTTATCAATGCATGTAAGCATCATATAACACTCAATCCAGATAAATAGGTCACTAATTTTGTTAATGCGCAGGCTGTTTGTTTGGCTGCTTGCCAGAAGCTTCATGAGCTGGGGGCATTTACTGACATGCTCTTGCCAGACAAGGGAAGTGGGGAAGGAGAAAAAGTTGACCAAAATGATGAAGGAGATCCACTCCCTGGGACTGCAAGGCACAGGGAGTTCTATCCTGAAGGTGTAGCTAATATTCTCCAGGTTTGTTTCTGCTGCATGTCATATGTTCAAGGTTATCTGCCTGAAGTAGTTGAAAATATGATAAACCAACAAGACTGACAATCATCAATATGTTTCCTTTGGTTATTAATCTTATCTTATAATCTTCAATATGAATTCCAGTGCTATATTTTACTGTGTAACATGAATATAATGCAAAAATTTATTAAAATTAGGATTCAAGGCAATATCAGTTGCACAGAAGATATATAATGTAGCCATAAAGAAAATTTGAAATATGAAAGACCAATCAATGGCCATTTGGAGAAGTACCTTACATGTGTATCTGAATATCAACTTTCCAGACTTGTAATTCAAAAGCTACTAATCATAGCTGATGTGTTTTGTTGTGTTTCTAACAATGCACACAAAAATGCCGTTGGTGGTAGACTGTTTGATTCAATGCAGCTAGATCATTCCCTGATGAATGCAGTATGTGCAAGATGGGCCTGGATCAATCGACATCATTTCCTTTTTGCCTCCCAAATTCTAGAGATTTGGACTACTTTCTTTCAACAATTTGAACCTTAAGCCGCTCATTGTCATTTGAGAATTAAATTAGTGCCTATTTTTAGGAAATTAAGCCAGGAATTTGAAATGCTTCAGGATTAGCAAAGCTCTTGTAGTTTGTTTGAGAATTTCTTGGGAATTGGAATTCCTGCAGATATCGGAACTCCCTAAAATGCATGAGTTTTAGCTTATACTGTAATAGGTTGGAATTGCTAATTATTGCTTGTCATGACTTTGTAGGAAATTTTATTGGCATATTCTAGTTTTATTTTAACCTATAATAATTTTTTAAAGTTGGCTTTTGCACGTATTACATATATTTGCTTGGGACCACAAATGGTTGGTCAAATTCAATGGTATTTTGGTGATTTTTGAGAATTCAGTTTGTTAACAAGTATTACTCCTGTCATCCCAATTTCTGACTCCTGGTTTTATTTTTTTTGGAAGTCCCATTTTATGTGTCCAAGTCTTAAGTTTAATCACTACTTCCCACATTATCGTTTTTTGAATTTATGTTTAAACACTATCCTATTTCCCAAAAAATTTATTCAAACAAGACAAAAGGCACGGTCAACAGCTACATAAAATGCGACAGAGGATTGACATTTTGACTTGTAAATTTACTCATTATAAAATATTTAAATTATTTGACATAATGATGCCATTTTTACTAAAATAGACTATTGAAATAATTGTTAATTTTGAATCTCAAGTGCCTCCACATTGTAACAATTTTAGTTTTTGAGAATACTGTAACGCTCCAAATTTCTAGCCCAAATGATAATACAACAATCATGGCTCTTTCAAGAAAAACCGAATATAAATCTCCAAACTTACATGACATGATATAATAGTTCTTCATGCAACAATACATTAAACCAACAACAAGTAAATAAACAAATAAATACCCCCAAGGGTTTACAAGTTTCCAAGGCTAGAGTCTGGTTATACAAAACGGTTATTCAAACCCACACAAACACAGCCCTTGGCTTACACACAGAGTTACAACAAAATGAGAGTATTGTACTCCTAACACACATATTTCCACGCCTCTAGTTGGGTGGGATCACAATTTTTTTTCCTGCACAAAAATCCCGTAGGGTTAGCATAAAGCCGAGTAGGAAATTCTTAACAAAGTATATACATTTTATACAAGTCTCAAGAGATGAAATGTACATGTCATGTTATGTCCTTTTTGAAAATAAATCACATTTTCATCTTTTGAAAACCATCATGCTCAATGATATCATGCAATTTCAATTGTTCAAAACTTAACAATTTATTTCAAGGGCGGTAAATACGACTCTGGTAATCCCTAGGTCAGTGTCTGCAAGTAGACTATATAAGTGCTACCAATTTGTCATTTTTACCGGTATTAACCGGAAGGCTCGACACCTATCCTTGCGGGTTTTCGGTCTTTCACCCCGGACTCTCAGGCCAACTTATTCAATATCATCTATGTCACCTATCAAGACTTACCAACGTATTTACCCCAAAACCATTCCATAAAAATTTGTTTCTCAACATTCTTTTCTCAATGCAAGTTTTCAAATCAACTTTCAAAGTTTAATGTAATCAAATGAATTGATATGCCAATAACACAAGATGAATATAAATACTTTTATTCCAATTTATCATCCAAGGAATAACATAATTCCCTCTTCTCAAGTATCCTCAACAATTAATCATTTCAAGACTATTTCAACGTTTTGAACAATAATTTTTAAAATGAATAATAATTCTCATATTTCCTGAAATTCATCATTTATATAAATATAAATAAATTTTTTTTCAAAGATCCATTTATTTTGACACACAAAATAAATATAATAATATCATTCATGGATTTTCAGTCTCTTAAAAAAAAAAATCCCAAATTATAGGTTTTCTCACCAAAACTATACAACTCAAATCTTTTGAAAGAAAACGTTCCAAAATCATCTTTTCTTTAATCAATGAAGATCAAAACCATAAGATTATTTTAAAAGAACAAGAGGCAAACCCACTTGCAAAATCTTTCAATTTCTTGAATCAATAATCAAGTTTCAAAGCTATCGAAAGATGATTTTGAAAATCATATAAATCTTGCAAAAACATATATATAACTCTAAGAAAATTCCTACCTCAAGTTTTGAAGAAGAAATGGGATGAAACTTTCAAAATCAACGGTGCCGAAACTCGATCTTCACCGCACACAACGAAGCCCTCGAGATGATAACCAACTTTGGTGAAGAACTTAGGTCTAAATCCCAACGAATTTGGAGAAATCAAAGAGAGAAGATGACTTCTAGAGAGAGAAGCTCCCGATCTGGAATTCTGGAGAGTTTTAGAGAGAGAAAGGACTGAAAAAATGATTTGAAATATCAGATTCACGAACTGAGATAACATGGTCCGCTCGAGCGTCAAATACACTAACCCAGTACTTTTACAGACAGGTCAAACTTCTGAAACCAAACATTCTCCGCTCGAGCACATAAACGGCCGCTCGAGCGGACAAGCAATTTCGAATGCATTTTGCATTTTTGCTTTGGGGGCGCTGGCCCTCGACTCCGCTAGGGCGCTGCCCTCGGACCCGTCAAGGGGCGTTGCCTCCTGGACCCCCGCGAGCTGACCGAGCAGCTCGATCCCCGACCGGCCTAGTCAAAGTGGCAAAATATGGAAGAAGGATCGAAATCGGGATCGCTACAAATACTTTTTTCAAGAAGAGTTTGAACTCTTTAGGATTTGCAACTCTCAAGAATTAAACTCCTAGCAAATAAACAGGCCATTAATATCAACTACTGCAGCTTCTAAATTGTTGTGTTGGTGGGAAAGTAGTCCTCCTACATTGGTGGGAAGCATAATTGTCAAGTCGAGAATCGTATTATGAATCAAAATCCTATTTTGCGAATCGTGAATCAATTCGAATTGAGAATCGCTAAGATTTAGTATAGACTTTAAAAAATGATGTTAAGCAATCATATAAATATAAAAATGAAATAAATTGATTTTGTGCTGGAAATTTGTGTTATAATAAGATAGTGGCATGTATAGAATATGATAGTGGTGTTGGTGGTAGATAGTGGCATGCATATAATATGATAGTGGTAGATAGTGGTAATATATAATATGTAAGTGGCATATAATGGGTTATAATGATGTTTGTAATATCTCCTATATAAGGAGTGTCATTTGGTCTTGTAAAATAAGAAGTTTTGAATATAACAGAAATATATTCCTTCTTCCTCATATTTTCGGAGTTCTTCTTCCTCCTCATATTTTCTAAGTTTTTGGTACTTGTTATGAAATCGTTCTAATATAAAGGTATGATTACACTGTCTAATTGGGAAAGCATTGCCTTCATAACAAGAGTCCAAATCCCACCAACTATAAAATTATTCAAAAACCATAATATAATCTCATCCCTATGTTACACCCCTATGCTAAACCATCTACCAAGGGCCATTGCGCAGAGTTGCACTAGCGTGTAGCATGAGCACGATAATGTATGTCCATAGCCCATAACTAGCATTCTGCCTTCCCACTAGCTCCGCACAATGTGCCTCGCATGATGGCAATGCTTCATGATATTCAATTGTTCCCACGAGTAGCGGCATTGTCACCAAACCACTAGCTAGACTACTTGACCCTCGCGCTCACGGTTGAACCCAAGCCTATGTTCACGAGTTAGCACACAATGCCTTAATGATGGTGCTTTGATAGCCCAATCCATTCGATCTAGGACCACACCACAATATGTTACGAGGAGCGGCATAGCGAGTGCGTACCTAAACCTCTAGCTAGGATATGACATGCAGTGTCAACACTCATGCCCCTCGATGACACTGTCCATGGGGTTCCCAAACCCACATGGAGACCAAAGACAACTAGTAATAGTTTGTCAAAGGCTCGCCCTTTGGTTTCCCAAAGGTTGCTCACTTGTAACCCATCGCAGGTTGGGGAGATAGGCTAAAGCACACCATGCCCCCTTATAATATCATCTTAAGCCCTTTGCAGACTGGCGCAAGGAAACATACCACATGTTTGAGGAGTCATAATAATGATAATTCAATAAATTCCAAATATTATCCAAATATTAGAATTTACGGGAATGTCACCAAGGCATGCTTGAGACCCACTAGCGTGCAAGCATGGGCAGGTCGGCACGCAAAGGTGCTGGGCGTGTGTTGGACTACTTGGGGTCAACACGCCATGTTGGAGCGCCACGCCACATGCAAGAGTTGTGAGCTGAAGTCGAACTGTCAGCTTGTGACACTTTGCCATGAATCTTCTTCTTGTCCTTTGCTTTCTTCTTCATCGTTTCTTTGCTGAATTTCCTTCAAAAGATTCTTTCTTTCTTTTTCATTGTTTTTTCTTCATGTTAGTAGAGCTTTTCATCTTCCTTGTTCATTCTTTTACCGATGGTTGTCTTTCTACTACTTTTCGTCGTTTTGTCTAAATTCTGTGGTTTTGTTGTCCTAAAGCTTGCACATAAGTCTTTTCATCTTCTCTGTCTACTGTTCATTCATTGTTTCTTCCATCTGTGTTGCATTTACTGGAGCTTTAGTTGCATATTCTGTAAATATGAGGTTATACAATTACTGAGATAGGGAGGTGAGGTAAGGATTTAGCGTAAGGTATTTATTCTTCAAGTTGATGTATGAATCAAGAGAAAGCTTATAAGGATCACTGAGAGGTTTCACTGTTATTCATCGACTGTGGATTTGGGTGATGTCTGTTGGGTTATTCAGTCTCTATGAGAAGCTGTAAGTTTTGGTTGGCAAGGTGATTTCTTTGGGAACTGATTCGGAAGTTGATTTTCGAACAAAACTATTTGCTTCAAAAATCAACTTCCGAACCAAAGATATAGCTGAACCATATAGTTGTGTTTAGAAGTAGATTTCCGAAATAAATAGTTTTATTCAGAAGTTAATTTCCAAACCAAATAGATGTGTGCACTAGGAGGAAATCATGTGAGGAAATAGAAGCTCTCATTCATGAGCCATCTAATGAACTCCCAAATGCATCCACCTTCCAATGCATGTATCCAAATGCAATTTGGACCAATTCCCAACAGTGTGTTGCAGCCTTTCCCTAGATTGAATGATATAGCTAAATAAATCTGTGATGGACCTTTTGTCCAACAACAAAATAAATTAACGATAAAATGGTAAATAGAAAGTACACGAGGACAAGAAGTCCTCCAAAAGGAAAGAAAAGAAAACGTCACAAATTACCCCTCTCCATTAACTGTTGATCAAATACAAACGAATACCTTAAAAAAGGGTGAAGCCAAAGCTCAAAAGGATGACATATAACAAATTTGGTCCCAAATCCCTTGAAAATCGTCAAATATGTCTTCAAACACCCTTGCATATTTTTCTAACCACACCATCTAAAACATTGTGCTAGCTACATCTACCCAAAGAACTCATGCTTTCTTACTTGAGACAAAACCCCTAAAATGAACTTGAATTATTTGGGTACATGAGAAGAGGGAACCACCCAATCCTCTTGCACCTCATGGAATAACCTCCACCATAATGCCTAAAGTAACACAACAATGAAGAAATAGATGATCACTGTCATCCTCATCCTCAATGCACATATATAACACTACTATGGAGATGATAAACAATTAGGTATATTTTTTGAATCGTGTTATTGGTGCTGATCTTCTTACGAGTCAAAGACCAAACAAAAACTTTGACTTTAAGAGGCAATATGCATCCCAAATCATATTATAAGGCTAGAGTGATACATTTGAATTATCAATAATTTTGTCAAAAGAATTATTTATAAAAAATAAAAAAAAAATAAAAAAATCCTAGGAATGAACAATTGATACTCTCTTACACACACAATTGGGCCTCATTGAAACACCATCAAGAATAGATAACAAAGACGTCAACTCATCAATGTCATGATCATTAGGATTTCTAAATAAATTGAATTTCCAAGAGATTGGAACCAAAAAGGAAGAGACTATAAATGCAATGGAACATTATGAGAACTAGATAGATTATAAAATCGAGTGAACAAAGGATCAAATGAAGTATCTTTATTTAATAATCAAATGAACAAATTTGAGTGTTCTTAGGATCTTTATTTAGAAGACTAATTACACTTTCTATTAGTAAACCTTCCACAATTGTACTTTTTTATGATGAGACATTTTCTTTATTCCATGCTTCTGGGACATTTTAGCAGTCATTACTATTTACTTTGGAAGATACTCACTGCTAGTGGGATCCAAAATGCACTAGTCCTTGACCCCTGTTGGCTATGCAGGGAGATTGGATTCTATCTGGGAGGGATGCTTGCTACAATTCCAAGTTGTTTCATCTTTACATGTATGATATTGAATGTGTAGATATTGGCTCCTTACAAGATCCATTCCTAACTCAAGTTTTGGAGTTCGCTGTAGTCTTCGGCAATGAGCTGGATGCAGAGGTATCTCATCATTCATTTTTATTGGACTGGTACAACATGCATAATGTTTATCTCTAACTACATGTTTTGTTGATAGGTTTTATCGATGTCGATGGATCTCTTTATTGCTCGAACCATGATAACAAAGGCATCTCTTGTTTTCCGGGGGTCAATAGATATTACTGAAAGTCAGGTTGAGATTGATCGTTGACTTTTCTGAAGTGCTTGTCAAATTATAAAATGTTATTTTTGTTTACATTTCTAGCTATGTTTGTTTGGATAAACCCTGTTCTCTGCTTTTATGCAGTTGGCATCCCTTAAGAGCTTTCATGTGAGACTAATGAGTATTGTACTGGATGTGGATGTTGAACCGTCCACTACTCCTTGGGATCCTTCAAAAGCATATTTGTTTGTCCCTGTGGTTGGCGATAATTCTGTAGATCCTCTAAAAGAAATTGACTGGTATCTGGTTGAAAAAATAAGTAAGACAGATGTGTGGAACAATCCCCTTCAGAGAGCTCGGCCCGATGTTTACCTTGGTACCAATGAGCGAACACTAGGTGGAGACCGAAGGGAGTATGGATTTGGAAAATTGCGTCATGGCATGGCTTTTGGGCAGAAATCTCATCCTACCTATGGCATTAGAGGAGCTGTAGCACAATTTGACATTGTGAAAGCATCTGGATTGGTTCCTAATCGGAATGCTTTTGAAATTGGAAATCATTTGGATTTGACTAAAGGCAAACTGATGATGGCAGATTCTTTTATAGGCGTGGAAGATCTGGTGGGGAGAATTGTAACCGCTGCTCACTCTGGAAAGAGGTTTTATGTGGACTCTGTACGTTATGATATGACTGCAGAGAACTCATTCCCGAGGAAAGAGGGCTACCTTGGTCCATTGGAGTACAGCTCTTATGCTGATTACTACAGGCAAAAGTACGTGCTTTATTTTTTTTGGTCTTCTTGATTTATTTTTCCCATTTTTTTCAAATTAAAACGAAATAGGTCTTCTTTTTCTTCTTTTTTTTTTCTTTTCTTTTTTCAAAAACATTTGTTCCAGCTGCTAACATTTGGTTGGTTTGTTGCAAGGACCGGATAGCACTAATGCACCTCTGTTGTTGTGCCTGAAGGAGAGAAGTTGATCTCAGTCTGAGAAGGAAGCGTTTAACTACTTTCAGCTGTGAATTAAGTTGCCTCCATTGAGCTGTTCTGCAAGTGTCCCACTGTCTGTAGTTTATGAATCCTTCTGGACCGGATGTTTCTAGCTCTTCATGCGCAATGAAGGTGCATTTGGCTAGTCGGTCTAATATTATAACAGGTATGGAGTCGAGTTGATCTATAAGCAACAACCTCTTATAAGAGGGCGTGGTGTTTCATATTGCAAGAATCTCCTTTCTCCTCGATTTGAACATTCAGAAGGTATCCTTTCATCTTTTTCACATTTATTTACCTTCTTTTTCTTCTGTGTTGAATTTTCCTGTTCACTTTGCTTTTCATCATTTTGGCTTCTGGAGGTAACTCGGGAAATTTTTCTTGTTTAGCTCATGATGGTGAATCTGAAGAGGCACTTGATAAAACATATTATGTTTTCCTTCCTCCTGAGCTGTGTTTTGTACATCCACTCCCTGCATCACTTGTTCGAGGTGCCCAGAGATTGCCCTCAATAATGAGGAGGGTTGAGAGCATGCTCCTTGCCATTCAGCTTAAGGATATAATTAATTATCCTGTCCCTGCTTCAAAGGTATTACAATTTCCTGGATGATTGATTTTTTAATAAATTGTTATTTTATCAATTAACGTGTGTTTTCTTTTACAGATCTTGGAAGCCTTGACTGCTGCTTCATGCCAGGAACCTTTCTGCTATGAAAGAGCAGAGCTTCTGGGAGATGCTTACCTGAAATGGGTTGTGAGCAGATTTCTTTTTCTTAAATATCCTCGGAAACACGAGGGTCAGCTTACTAGACTGAGACAACAAATGGTGAGTAACATGGTCTTATATCAGTACGCTTTGAATAAGGGACTTCAATCATACATCCAAGCAGATCGATTTGCTCCATCCAGATGGGCTGCTCCTGGGGTGCTGCCTGTCTTTGATGAGGATATCAAAGAGACGGGATCATCCTTATTTGACGATGAAACAGCACTTGGTGTGACTGTACCCGGAGAAGCTCAAGATGCTGATGGGTATGAAGATGATGAAATGGAAGATGGTGAGCTCGAGAGTGATTCAAGTTCATATCGAGTCCTCTCTAGCAAGACACTAGCAGATGTTGTTGAAGCACTTATCGGAATATATTACGTTGAAGGCGGGAAGAATGCTGCTAACCACCTCATGAAATGGATTGGGATTCAGATAGATTTTGATCCTAAAGAGTTAGAGTGCACAACCAGGCCTAGCAATGTTCCAGAGAGCATACTTAGGAGCATCAATTTTGATGCTTTAGAAGGGGCCTTAAACATCAATTTTAAAGATAGGGGCTCGCTGGTTGAAGCTATTACTCATGCTTCAAGGCCATCATCTGGAGTTTCATGTTACCAGAGGCTGGAGTTTGTTGGCGACGCAGTCTTGGATCACCTTATTACAAGGCATTTGTTTTTTACATACTCAGATTTGCCTCCTGGTCGCTTGACTGATTTGCGAGCTGCTGCTGTAAACAATGAAAACTTTGCACGGGTAGCCGTTAAACATAAGCTTCACATGCACCTTCGACATGGGTCAAGTGCCCTTGAAAAACAGGTTTTCTAAATTCTTCATCTCATTTATTTAAACTCTTATTATTTATTATTTAATTCGCCATCTATCTCCGTGCTTGGCCTAACCATAGTTTTCTTTTTTACTTCAAAACTCGTGCTGTCGTTTTCAGATTCGAGATTTTGTTAAGGAAGTTAAAGATGAATTGTCAAAACCAGGGTTTAACTCCTTTGGTTTGGGGGATTGCAAAGCTCCAAAGGTTCTTGGTGACATTGTTGAATCTATTGCTGGTGCCATCTTTCTGGACAGTGGACGTGATACTGCTGTTGTTTGGAGGGTCACTCTCAGAATTCAAACCTCCTTATATATATATATATATATAAGTAATGTTTTCTGTTTTTGCCCCCTGGGCTTTTCCTTTTATCCAAATCTTTGGTATGTTTTCAGGTCTTCCAACCTTTGCTGCATCCAATGGTTACTCCAGAAACATTACCAATGCATCCAGTGCGGGAACTGCAAGAACGGTGCCAGCAACAGGCTGAAGGACTGGAGTACAAAGCCTCTCGAAATGGAAATTTGGCTACTGTTGAAGTTTTCATCGATGGGGTCCAGGTTGGGATTGCTCAGAATCCACAAAAGAAAATGGCTCAGAAGTTAGCTGCCAGGGGAATGCCCTTGTTGCTTTGAAAGAAAGGGAAACAGCAGAAGCTAAGAATGCTAGTGAAGATGGGAAGAAGAAGAATGGCAGCCAGACATTTACTAGACAGACATTGAATGACATATGCTTGCGTAGAAATTGGCCAATGCCACTGTATCGGTAAAAATAATTTATAAATAAACTTGTTTTTGTGCGTAATAATGGTAATTTACATGTTCAATTTTACGGGTTGAATGCTTAGGAAACTCTGGATTAACAAACAATTCATTACTTTGTCATCTGTAGGTGTGTAAGTGAGGGTGGCCCTGCGCATGCGAAAAGGTTTACTTTTGCTGTACGAGTGAATACTACTGATAGGGAATTGACAGAAGAATGTATTGGAGAGCCTATGCCGAGCGTTAAGAAAGCCAAGGATTCTGCAGCAGTTCTTCTCTTAGAACTTCTAAATAAATTGTACCCATGATGGTCATAGCAATCCAAAAAAAACTTTTTTTTGGTGTTTGTCTTGCCATAAATGGGGCTAGCTGTATGGGTGCCTTGTCTTTGGGTTAGCTGTTGATGTAACTTAATTTTCATTTATTGGAAAGCCTTTGCCAAATGTGAACAGATCCAAGGACTCTGGCACTTGGAGATAACAGTGAGAAAAAATTGGCTGGCAGTGGCAGCACCTCCGTTGGTGGTGTTGTATGTTATTCCTCATCATGGGTTATTATCCTATGCTAAGTAACTTTAAATTTACTTCTGCCATTGTATGATCTGAGCTAAGCCAATGCCTGTCAATTGGCAAGCTTCAATAATGTAAGCAGCTGTGTTGCATACAAAAGTTCTATGTAGCTAACTAATGCTAACAAGTGAATTGGATGAAATATTGATGCATTGATGTTCCATTGTCCCAGCTTGTTTGTTGCTGACTTATTCTGATTATTTCAAATGGAATCATTGATATACTGATGGTTTAGTGCCGATTGTGGAAGTGTTCCTTGTTTGTTTTTTTACCAACACATTGACTACAAACCAAGTTATCTTTACTCTCATTTGAAGGAGGGAAGGAAAGGGATTTTATTTTCCAATTAGAATACACACACACACATATATATCGAGAGGCAGAACAAGGTATATTAGTCATTTAAATTTATCATGTCCATTCAAGGGAGTCTTAAGGGCATCTTCATAATTTAAATAGAAGTGAATACAGACGCACGCCTACACAATAAGTTTCGTGAGCTTTAGGATTAGATAAATAAATTATAATGGTAAATGTAGAACAATATAGGTTAAAGCTGACAAGCAACATGGGTTTCCCTCGTAAAATTTTGTGTACGCATTATCACAATATATCAAGTTCAAGCCTCTCCTTCCAAGTGTATTCTCTTCGGACCTTTCTCCTCACCTTGGCTGTTGGCACTACTTACCCTGCTCTCCTTGGCCTTGGTAGACCATCTTTTATATTGCTTAACCCGTATTCTGAGAGGTTTCAACTTCCCATGCCCAAGCTCCAATGTCAACAATCCTTCCCCCTGTGAAAAGCTTTGTGGCAATACTTTTCTAGAGACCAGTGCCTCAAAGGCTAACCGACCCTGTAAATAAAGTGAAACTAAAAGCAACAATGATCTGGAAATTACAAATTTCATTCAGAAAAGCATATCTTTTAGTTACCTCTTCAGAGACCTCTTTCCATGAATCATTTGTGCTGCTGGAGCTTCTGCCATGATAATTATTAGAGTCACTAACTAGATAGCTTACGTGAGGTTTTTTTTCTCTCTTCCTACCTTTCTCATGTTTCTCTAAAGCATCTATCTCTACTTCGCTGCTAGAAGGTGTGTTGGAACCACAAGAAGAACGATCCACTTGTTTTCTGCTTTTCATCTCGTTTGAATTGTGGTGCTTCGGTTACTGTTGCAACATTCTCATTATCAAGCGCACTTAAACCCCAGATTTTGGTTTCATACCTTCACTTTTTCAAATCTTGATGATGATAAAGTAGGTGATTAGAAGTTAAATGTTGTTCTTGCAGAGCTTTCGAATGTTATGGGTCTGTTTGTTGATTTTGCAACGGTACATCATGAAGAGCATTCTCTCTTTTATCATTGTTGCTTGCTGTAGCAGCAATAGCAACTAGGCTAGCATCACATGGAGTTGTTGTTGTTGTGGATGCAGGTGTAGAAGTGCACAAGGGAAGCAGTCATTGAGTGGCTCACCATGCAATTGCAGTAACAACAATCACTGCTATAAGGCCGAATTAGAAGAAGCTTCCATGCTTGCATAAGGCTAGAATGCAGCTGCAAAACTTGCTGCATCATGGGCTGCTGCTTTTTGTCTCTGCGCCCGCTAGTGCAACATCTCATTGTAACATTTGTCGCGCTCCTCTCACTCTTTCAACATCTCATTGCAATATTTCTCGCGCTCCTCTCGCTCTTTCATCAACTCTTCCCGATCTCTTTTTTGCTCCTTGTGAAGTGGCTCCATCTCAACTCTCATTGCCTCTGTGTCCTTATCACGTGCTCGTGATGTAGCTATGGTAGAGGGTTGTGGGCCGATCCCAAATCCAATCAAGTACTTTTTCTTCTTGCCAAGCACTTGCCTTGGCGTCCCTAACTCAGTGGCAACCGCTTGTAGATTGACTATCTTTTGCTATCATTACAAATAAAGACAGAAAAAAGGCATTGTTAGATATATATTTTTGGGTACTAAGTAATATTAAATATAATTAATTCATTGTTTCATACTTACATGCAGCTTATTGCACTTGGGATAGATCCAGTCATTCGTCTTTTTGGACGTGTGGCTGTCCTCATAAAACTTAGGAAAATCCAAGTCCCTATTTTTTGCTATCTGTTAGTTTCAAATAAGAACAAAAAAATAATCATAACATATTATTCTTAACAGAACAAAATAATGGATTTACTTTTAAATATAATCAATCTCATGAAAGCAACCATCACGATAGGAAATGAGCGAGATCCACTAGTATGATTGAATGGCAACTGACTTCTATTACTCTTACTAGCTTTTGATTGTTTCTACAAAAAATAAGTACATAAACAAATTTTTGTTAAATATTAACGCATATCACATTTGGCACGGGACTATGTATAATGCATTATTATTTTACTTGGTGAGATGCATCTTGCCATGTCACATCGATCAAATGTTTCCAAGCATCCAAACTCACCCCTCGGGGTGGATAAGCGTAGAGGTCATCAACCCCCTTTTCCTCTAATAGTTTGAATTCATGCTTTAAGTTGCACCTCCAATCTTTGTACAACGTATATGCCTTCTTATTCACAATCTGTTGAGCTTGTAGGTCATTGTGAAAATCATCCCCAATATCAAACTTGTCCTACAATCATAACAAGTGAAAATCACATCATTACATATAAGTGCTTATTACAAGTATAACTAATACAAATAATATTGCCCAATATTATCCATTACGAGAATAGCTTGCATGACGGTAGCTTTGGTAGTTTCATCCATATTCAGTTACGACGTAACATCCTTGAGAGGGCACAATTTCCTAATCTAAAGCCCTATCTCATTAGCTGTTAGAGTGGCATACTCTTCGATCATTGCATTCAGAACACGATCGATGTGAACATATAATTTTTCCCATTTTTTGGATCTTATTATTTTTGTATTCCTTTTCTAAGTGTTGGTCCTCGTACATATGTGGACCTAGAAGACCCTGATAACAAAATAACAATAATCAAATTGTAAATAATGACAACTGATAATTGACAAATTTGAAGTACAATATTCTTACATATGACATGATTTTCTGTTTCCGACGATGGCTATGGTAGGCTAGTGGCATTAGGAGATGGTGCAACTATTGATCCTAAGGGGACAACAACCGGCGAGTTTGTTATTGTGGTTGGGAGTGTCCTTTTCTGGAGCCTCAATTATGAGAATAGCTTGGATGCTATTTAATTGGCAACTAAATTTTTTTAGTAGGCAAAAATTACTATACCATGACTAAAAGTTTTTTGGTCACCAAAAATAAATATTTGTCAACCAAAATTGTTGTCGCAAAATATTAATAACAAACATTAAGCTAGTTATTTGGCTACTAAATTTATTTTACGGCAAAAATTAGTATACCACAACTAAAATAAATTTTAGTAGCCTAAAACCTAAATTACCGCCAACTAATATTTTTTTAGTTGCCTATTGTGGCATATTTAGCGACTGAATTTATTTTTAGTCACCAATAATAATTTTTTGGCTACTAAAAAATATTAGTAGCTAAAACCATTAACAACACCGACCAATGTAATTTTTAGTCGCTGATTGTACAACTTTTGGCGACTAAATTCCTTTTAGTAGCCAAATTTGGTCGCCAAAAGTGTAATTTCCTGTAGTGATGCATATATAGGGCAAAAGCGTCTCTCTAGTAATAATAAAAACAAAAGAACATAGAAAGAGAGACATTATGCTAAAAATAAAAGAATAAAGGAGAAAAGAGAATAGAACAAAGTAAAGGAAAGAGAAAGCTTGAATTCTTGACTAAGACTAGTTCCTAGCTTGAATTGAGATAAAAATTATGTTTCGACACTTAACTATAACTGTTTATTTGGTTGATTTTGCTCGAAAATGATCTTTTGAAGAAAAAATTGAACAACTTAGGTTTTGAAACTTGTTATCACTAAATTCAAACTCTTGAGTTGGAAAACCCTAAATTTTTACATGAAATGAACATGAATTTTCCTATACTTTCATGTAGAAATGGAAAACTCAACCCAAACCATCCCAATTACACCCATTTAAAACATGTTTAAACTTGTCTAAACTTGTTTAAATGGGTTACCATATCATCACTATTACTATTTTTGCTACTCCACCACCACAATCGTCACAACTTCACCATCGCAACCGCTACCACCAGCACTTCTCTCTCTCTCTCTCTCTCGATACGATCACAAATTTCATTTCACGATTTTCTTACTGTATGTGTATTGAATCGAACTAGATCTTATTCATGCCTTTCTAATCTATAGTGAAATTAAGTATGTAATTCACTTCCATCGACTAAAAGAAAAATTTTGTAGAAATTCAGTGATTCATTGCCATAAAAGTTTTGTAAACAATGAATTTTCTCTTATATGTAACAAAGCAATTTTCAAATTTTTTATTTTAGAGCCCACAATTTGAATTGTTGTCCAAAATTTGAAAATAAAAACCCTATTTTCACAATTGAATTTCAATTTTTCAATTTTTAGTTATTGATTGGAAATGCCACTATCTTACTGTGTTTAACCTAGTGAATATGCAGAAAAATTGTAACAGACAATGAAATTTCACTATGTTTCATTGTCTCTAGTGGATTCTTGCATTCTAAATTTGAAACAAACAATCTAATTTTTACAATTGTCTTTTAATTTTACATTTTCAGATATCAATTGAAAACTTCATTGCGTTATTTCACTATGTTCACTGCTATCAACACTGTGAAATTTATCAGCACAATAAATTTTACTATGTTCAACATAATAAATATATAGAAAATTTGTGACAAACAATGAAAGTCCACCGTTCTAAAGTAGAATTTCACTATCCAAAGTGAAATTTCATTATATTTAATGAATTTTTAGTAATAAAATTGAAAATAGGAATCTTGTATTTGTAATCAGTTTTCAATTTTGCATCTTTAGTAATCAATTAAAAATTTCACTGTGTTGAACATGCGTTCAACACAATTAAGGTGGGAAAAATCTGTGACATTTAGATGTCGTAAAGTGAAATTTCATTGTCTAAAGTACAATTTCACTTCAATCTCATTGTTTTGAGAGAAATTTGCTATCCCGGGGATAATAAAATTCAATATAAACAATGAAATTTCACTGTATGATAAGAACATAAGGGTTTTATACCTGTCACAATTAATGTGAAGGGGCACCCTTGACACTTTGATTTTCGCATGATGCAGTGGTCAGGTTCAAGGCCAACGAGAGGGCGCCACATGGTAAAGAAGACCAAGAAGCATTAGATGAAATGATGTCTATTCAGAAATTGTCACGAATGAATTGTTTCAAATACAAGAATGATGGTTCATTTCCAAATAACCTTAGATGATAAAGTCGATGTAGGAAACCAGCTTAGAATCATACTCAGCAAAATCTGAACTGAGAAACTCTAACTTCCCTTATGACGAGCTCAGGCAAGTTAGAGTTTGGAGAAATTATAAGAGGTAAAATTCAAACTACAAGCCTCATGTCATTATTTCATGCCAAGTTAAGCCAGATCGACCGAGCTAGATTAGTGTAAGACCAGTTTGTCAAGCTAGTCTACCTCGGGTGGACAAGTTAAACATATGTCAATTTGGATGTCAAGGTGAGTATGGGTTCAGATGGGTAGTCTGTACAGTTAGCACATATTTTACTAAATGTGGACTTATCTGCTCTTAAAAATTCGCAAGTATGGAACGTGATCCCATGTAAGATGGAACAATGTAGAGTTGTAGTAGAGATCTCTTAACCAACTCAATGGTCATAATTAGGGCCTATATAAGTAAGCCACACTAAATCCAAAAGGTACACAATAACTTACACTTAAGCTACATACTTTTGGTGCTCATACTGTTACTGACTTAGGCATAGTCCCTTGGCTAACCACATGTCGAAATTCTTCTTTTGAGTATCTTTCAGGCTAATCAACCTCGTGTTAAAGCAATCTGAAGTCGTTGCAAGGTGTGGTAAGTTTTTTCCCACATAATTTGTACTAAAAAATAAAATAAAATTGAGAAAACAGTAGCCAATATGGGGTCTATTCAAGCGAGACTAATCAACAGATTAGGCTTATTAAGTCAAATTTTGCAATTAATTTGTAGAATTCAACAAGGCATCTTGTGTGTGTGTCACGACCCCATT